CCGGCATAATTATTGGGCACCGCGCTCGGCAAACAACAAAGGCGGCAAACGATGTGGGCCGCGCTTTTTATTAAAAAAAAAAAAATCTGCAAATGAAATTGCAAAAATAAAATGCGAGCATATAATATACAACGTGCGGGGAAAAAGAATCATTTTTTGTTCTGTTTGTGTCGCTTTTTTGCGTGCTTTGAAAGTTTCTCCCTTCTATTATTTCTGCTAATTAAAATGAAATTGTTTCAGCTGACCCAAATTATTTAAATGTGAAATTAGAAATAAAAAGATCCATAATTGAAGGCAACAATGGAAAATCTCACTTTTGAAATAACTTGTCAATGCTACTCTATTTTGATCTTTATTTCACAAATATCAGCGTTTCAGGATAAAACAACAAGCTTTTTAATCAAATTTTTCACTCTGAAATTTGACTTTTCCGTGCTTTAAACGCAAAATTTGACATACAATGACTCCAAAAAGTAGAATTTAACGCTTGATTATTAATAGACCAAATAAGCTTAAATAACAGTAAATCATTTTTACCTCTATTTTTCAAATGAAAAGAACTAAAATTCCACATTTTGAGAGTGATTCCTTAAAAATTAAACTGGCATATTATCTATATTAATGTCTCGGGACAGAACATATCATAAAGTGATAATTTCTCGCCACTTACAACTTTTTTCTATAAATACTATTTTTTGCACTCTTAGAATTACGCAGCTGAAATAAAAAAATTCGTGCATAAGTGAGTATTTATCAAATAATCACGAATAATTTTAATACAATTGAAAAGCAGCTATTTTGCTATTTTTGCGAATTAAATCAATTGAAATGGTCGAAAATTTAAAACCTAATATTGTGTCCATCAAAATTATAAGTGGAACTAATAATTTGGAAATCTTAATTTTATGAAAAGTAATAAATTCTTTTTAATAATTATGGCCAAATTAAAACTTTACAAAACGAGCCACCAAATTATGAAGTCAAATTTTTTTGCAAAATTTACCCGCCCTAGAAACTTCACCTAAATCCCAAACCTAAACCATATTCGATTTTAATAAGATTTTTCAATAATTTTTTATATCGATCTCTGATCAACTTAAAATTTCAAGAACTTTCTGTTGTTCAAAACAAAGGAAAAAATGTCTAAAACAAACAGAGGGACTGATCAAGATCTTAATCGTGAATTTTTATGACAGAGTTTCCGACTCGTTAGTGCGTCTGATGCGTTTGGCGCGCCATCAACCCTCTCGGTTTTTATTATCCTTTTGCAGCAGCGTGTATGTATTTTCTCTCCGAAGCAATAATGACTGTAATGTGCTCTTATTCGGAATAACATGTTATTTAATGTCGCGCATCTGCTTTTGTGTGTCGCCGGAGCGAAGCAGACAAACAATGTCACCCTGTGTGCTCAGCTGGTAATTACAATAAATAATAATTGCTGCAGCGGCAGAGCCCGGACGGAAACTAGGCCGGATAAGATGAGCGTTTGTCACGACCAGTCAATGGCTCGAAAACAGATTCTGGTCCTCGCGGACAAAGGCACGATAATAAAAAGAGAGAGTCGAGCGGGCGCCGGCCGCATAAAAAAGACAAAGGCCCGTAATCAGGAAGCGGCAGGGATGTGACTTGCTGAATTCATACTTTTTGTTGCTCCGCTTCGGATCACTAGTTTCGCTAAAAAATATCGCAGAAAAAAGCAGATTATAGGCAAACTGAAAATATTTCTAAATTATATTAAAATAGAGACAGATGGAGCAACAGAATTTATATTAATTTGTCACAATTTAATTAGTAACTGAAAAAAATATAAAAATTGTATTCAAAAAATCACAAATTAATTTTTTTTCTCATGTTTAAGCGTAATGTTGTTTTAATTTGATTAAAATTTTAAATTTTTTAATAAAATTTAATGCAATTTCATTTCAAATATTTATAATTATTGTTAAAAAATTTTAATAAATATAATATTTGCCCTCTTTTTGATAAACTTGTGGATTAAATAAGTCCAATCAACATTTAAAATGTTGAAGCCATTATGAAAAAAATAGAGTTTGCAACAATGGCTGCATTTAATGGAAATTTAAAGAATTCAATTTGTTCGAAAATATTTTTTTCATAAAAAACTGAATTAATAAGCAAAAGATTTAATCAATGAAGTTTCCATTTTCTGGAAGTTTTTTATATTATTTTCAATTATTTTCACAAGAGGGAGAAGTTTTGTTCGTGCCATTCTGCGTAGTTAGAGAAAAAGACCGGCCCAATTATTCAAATGGATTAATTCTGACTAGGGGGCGAGTGCATGCGAGATGCAAATAAATAAAGATCTCGCCCCTTTGGCCCGGTGATTAAGTCATTACGGGTATCGGCCGCGGCCGGTTCGAGTGCACACACCGTGCTATCGGACGCAGACGGAACCAAGAGATTACGATTATAATTCAAAGCCGAATGACCCTCACCTGTCCAGCTGCATTTTTCACCGATTCTTATCTGGTAAACAGAAGGGAGAGGCTGAATACATCAGCTGGCTCTCGACGTGGATGAAATTGACGTAATTAATTCGTGACTTAGAATGGAGAATTTTTAATTCATTAATCTGGAGATCTGTAATGGAGTTATTAAAAATTTCCACCAAATGTTTGTGAACAAAACGATACCGAAATTTATTATAGTACTCATGATCAACAAGAGCAAAAATGGTAAAAAAAAAACAGTCAGGATTATATTTTAAATATTTTATATACCGAACAGATTCTAAAAATAATAATGTTCAAAAGCTACTAAACAAACATTCGACAGGATTAAACGCAACAAAGCTGTATGCAATGATTTGTATAAAAAAATAATATTCGGAACAAATAATAAAAAACGCACTGAAAGCTTGAAACTTTTTACTTTTAAGAAGGCAGTGCAAATTGTTTAAAATTAAGTTTGTTCATATCAGGGGAAAATCAAGGAAAATTTTGAAAAAATTTAATTTGTGATTTTTCCTTGATTTTTTTTCTCGAAAAATATATTTTATTTGTAAATTTTGTAATGGATCTTTGACAAAATGAATCAAATTTTATCTCAAAACTGTTTTTAGTCGGCAAAAATAATGCTACTTCGCAAACGGTTTTTAAATATATGGTAATTACGAGCCTGCATTTTTTTATTATCATATTATGTGCAAGCGTTCGTTATTGACATTATCTTGACGTGCGGACTGAAAATACGACTTCCGTCGCGCATATTTTCCCTTCGCCACACACTCACGCTAATCATACATATGTCAAACACAAACACAAAATACCATACGCGTGCATGCGCCATTTTTATCAAACAAACTGAGATCTGACATGCAAAAGCCGAAAGCCGGGTCGGTCCCCACAGGTTGCGCCTCGGGGGGTTTTTGTGCTTTCAGCGTGGCTCTTAATCAAATGTGCGGTTAATTGGCCCACGGCTGCGACGAGATGCGTCCTTAATTAACTAACAACAGGGCAAAAGAGCTAAAATGCAGTAATTAGAAGAACACAAACCGGTCTTAATTTAGATACAATAAATAATTTGTAATGTTTTCATTTTTGTTTTCAATTTTTATAAAAAGTGAAAGGTAGAAAAACAATTAAAATTAGTATATTCAACAGCTAGCCACTTTTCTATATTTTCATTTAATGTATGCATGGGAATTATATTAGTTTAAGTTACCGTTCGGCAACCAGTCAGGTTCTTGGCCATTAATTTCAATTTCCCTCAAACAATTTTCTAAATCGATTGTTTTGAAGTTCAACTTTTCATGTAATTAACGCACAAGCAGTCCAAACAACGCATTTTCCAGGTGACCGAAAATTTGGCGCTCCTATCGACTCAATCGGCAATTGAAAAAATCGGCGTTGGGATTTCTCTGCGCTCAATTTTGAACCGGAGGAATGCAGATTCGGCAGCCTCGACAGGCAGAAGCGCGAGAGGCGCCACATGTGCCGATGCAAATAAATGAGCTCGGCTCGCGTTTATGTAATAAAAATAGCTACGCGGTGGTTTTACCCTACCTTGAGGTCAGCGGCGATAGTCTCTGGTCCGTTTGGGGTCCTCGGCAGGTCGGCGAAGTCCTCCGTCGGCTCAAAATCCGCGAGATACGGGCCAAGGCATTGAGAGGCGACATGTTGGGCGACTTTTTTGTCCCTCCTCCCGCCATCCTGATGACGGTGGCTGCTGCTTGCGCGGTGCTCGAAGACCAGAGCGAACAAGTCAGGACGGGAATGAAGAATGTATGTCGCGAGAGGCAGGCAGAAAAATGAAAATGACATCGCCCATATTAAAAATATTATATCGCGTTTAAAAATAAAATTTTATGTAATTGATAGGTGATGAAATAGCGTGTAACATGTTTTTTTATATTAAAATGCATCATTTTTTTTTTAATTCAATAGAGGGTAAAAATTAAATTATTTTCAATGTAATAAATTTGTTGAAAATTCTAAAAAATTTATGTCATCTGTAAAATATCAAATTTTGAACATGAGTTTTGAAAAGGTAAAAAGAGAACAATTCTGACGGCTCTGCCTTTATTAAAAAAAAATATATTGTCTACAGTTTTCTATGTAAAAAGCTTATATTTATATTATTATTATTATTTTTCTTATGAAACATTCATTTAAAAAAAAAATGCCGCAAAATGCTTGAAAACTCTGCACCAAAATATGATATTTTGTTTTTTAAATTTATTAAAAATTAAAATTTTATGCCATTACATCAGCTATTAATACTGAAATTAATATGAATATTATTTTTATTGAATGGTGACAATCAAGGTGGTTTTCAATTTTCGTTATTTTTATTTTTTATCCATTTTTTTATTTATTTTTATACTGGTATTAATCAGAGCGATGTAATTTTTAAACTTCTGCCTGCCTCTCGAGACACGTCAACGTCTCTCATCCCTGACCTGACTTGTTCGCTCTTGTCTTCAAACAAGCACAAGCAGCAGCAGTTCCGCCAGCAGGTTGGAGGGAGAGTCACGTGTGTTGCAACGCCAAGAAAAGAAGCATCCTTGTGCCTCGGCGGCCCGAATCTCGCCGAATTGGAGCCGACGGAGGACTTCACCGACCTGCCGAGGACCCCAAACGGACCAGGGACTATCGCCGTGACCCCAAGGTAGGGTAAAACCACCGCGTATCTCATTTTATTACATAAACGCGAGCCGAGCTCATTAATTCGCATCGGCACCATGTGACCCCTCTCGCGCTTCTGCCTGTCGAGGCTGCCGAATCTGCATTCCTCCGGTTCGAAATTGAGCGCAGAGAAAGTCGAACGCCGATTTATTTCAATTGCCGATTGAGCCGACACGAGTGCTGAATTTTCCGTCGCCCAGCAAATGCGTTATAACCATTAAACGTTTGACGTTTGACCCCAGGGGCTCTTTTACGTATTTGTTGGGGAAAAATCACATAAAATAATTTGAAACAAAATAATAATTAATAAATGCTAAATGATATCAAAAATAAAAAGCAAGGCGATTTATATGAAATTGCAAATTATGTCTAAAATATTTAAAAATTTTAGATAATTTTTTGCATTGTATGAATTCAATCTCTTTGAAGGGAGTTAATAGAGATGATTGAAAAATGAACCATTTAAATGTTTTAAATGAAAATCTGCTTCTTGTAAACATTTTTTTCTCTTTTTTCTTCTAATTTGGATTTTTTTTTTGTTTTTACCGAGAAGAATAAATAATTAATAATAATAAACCTATTTTTCCAAGAAATTCATTTTTTTTTATAAGCCCCAATTTTAATTTTTGCACTGATAGAATTATTTACTAACTTCTAAGTCATGGGCATTTGTTGAGCGTCAAGTTAAGGATTGTTTTTCATACACTTTTATATTTTCTATTGAAAAATTAGTCTAAACACCGAGCGAATTACACATTTGATTAAAATCAGCCCTCGTGCGCGCCCCCGTTTTAAATTCAACGTGCGGATCAGGCTAACGACGTGACCTTCTTTTCCGAAGGCCGAGTTATTGCCCAGCATCCTCTTTACCTGCGCGCGTGTCGGATTGATAAATTATTAGCGCGTCGTCGCGACGCGGCGCAAACTTGTCAGGAAAACACGGTTCAGAGACGCGGCGAACGAAAACTCTTCCGAGTTTAAACAGAGGGCGGATGTGCGTCGGAATTAGGGAGCAGAGATGAGTGTCACCTTGACTGTCGCCGGGCACAAATGGCGCATTAACTTTGCATTCAAACTACCCTGAACATAATAAAGCAGCTCGGTGGATGTGCGCGCGGCCCGCCGCTCTCTGCTGATAATAAATGCATGACTATTTGCAATTCGCACCGAGGGGCGGGAAAATAACCCAGTCACTTGCACGGATGGATGGATCTGCCTAGAGTGACGAACGTGGAATTTCTATTAAAACCCAAACTTTGATTGAGTCTTTCCTATGGGAACTTTCCGTGTTGATTTATAAATTTCGTCGGAAATTAAAATTGACGCTCATTAAATTTAACCACGTAACCGATTCGAAATTACGCCACCGAATTAATTTCGTTTGGAAAAGAGAGAGGCGTGTTTAATGTGCGGTCTCGTATAAAGTGTCGCGCAATAAAATTGCCGTTTCATTTAAAGTTGCGGGGCCTCGTTAATGCCATTACCGAGCTCCCTTAAATCAAGCTTGTTGCTCCGAGCCAGGCAAGAAGGTGGTTTGCAATAAAATTGCCTGATGGCTGCAGTTCGCAATGGCAAATAATAAATTAGCGTTAGTGTTCGGATCATGGCCTCGATACCTTGTGTGATTTAATTCAGTGATGATAAAAGGTGAATTAGGAAATTAATAATTACATTCTATAAGGTTTTAAATGTAATTTTCATTTTAGATAGACAAGGTAAATTCAGAATAATTTACTTAAAGCCATTAAAATTTAAATTAAATAAATAAGAAAACCAACTGAACCAACCAAATTGTTTTGCAACAGTTTTGCAATAATTTGTTGATGAGCTCCAATATCTCAATTATTTATTTGAATTTTAATCTCATTAATTATTAATATTTCCGAATAAAAATGTCACTATTTTGCGAAATAAAAAGAGAGCGATCGAAGTGGATCTGTTGCTCAATGGGACTGACGCCAGACATAATTTAAAATAAGTGGATGAGACGAGTAATGAATATTTTATTGTGATTTGATAGCTTTTGTGTGTTTGCGGTGTGGGACATGCACGGCATTTGAGACGGAAAAAAAGCATATAAGCGGCGGCGGCGGATTATGCGTGGGGACGCGCAACCACTAACTACATATATTTGGGGGAAAAACTGTTTGGTCACGCAACATTTTGACTCGAAATGCACTCTGGCTCTGTTTGTCCCCCTCTTTGCCGGATGAATGATGAATACATGCGAGCTGAGGCTCGATTGGATTATTATCTAAACAAAGGATAAACTACACACGCTGTGCGTGGCTGCATAATAAAATTTTACAGCTTTGTGAGGGAGACAGAGAGAGGCTTTGTCACACCTCGGAAGAAAAAGTTTTTAATAAAAAAAAATAATATATTTTATGATAACAAACTGCATTCGCCCGACTTAATTAGAATATCAAATGTAATACAAATATTTACTTTAAATTAAAAAAGCACTTATTTTACATTTTACCTAACTTTCCAGAGTTGATTGGATGTTTTTGTTTAAATAATTTATTAATTATAAAATTTCGAGCGCCTAAATAAATTGAATAATATTGACATTAAAAAGTTCCCTCTATTATATTTGTTTTTTTAAGTTTATTTTTTTACAAATATATTATTTTTAATTTATTTTTTTGTAATTTTTATCTAACTTAATATATTTATTAAGTCTGATAATTAATCTGTATAAAGCATGAATATCCACCAAAAGTGTTTTTAAATTAAAATTATAAATATATATTTTTATGCGAGACAAATTAAAAATAAATTGTTATTAGTGTAATATATGTTCATGGTGAAAAAAGTTCTTCAGTTTTTACTTATTATTGTTAAATAAAAAATAATTAAACGGAGCCTCTAGTTTCTATTTAACATTCAGGAGTTCAAGCCCTTTTGCACCCACACAGGCAAAACAAGATGATCATTGCGAATTGGAGCATAAAAATTGCCACACAGGGCGCGACCGCGATAAATTTATATCTTGCGGAATTCTTTTGACGCAACATAAAACTGCGGCCGATAAGAATTTGATCGTAAAAAAGTGTGTCGCCGCTGTTTTCGCAGCGACAGCCAATAATTTGATGAGTTCCGCGCGCGCTGCCGTAAATGCCATTCCGGCAGTTATCAGCTGTGATCCAGACTCATCAATAAGTTACACATCAATCATTTTACGAGACACTCTATATAATAATGCACACAGTCGCTCCCCTATCGCCAAAGAATGAGTGAGCTCCAACACCACAGTCTTTTTATAATGCATTTTTACTCCACAACCCCATCAAAAAAGGGAATTTTGTTCAAAAATTGAATACATAAAATGCCAGGCTAAAAATTTTGATATTCTTTATAAAAAGTAGGTGATTTTTTTTCAAGTTATAGGTATCAGTAGATGTAATTTTGAAGCATTAATCCATTCAAAAAAATTTGTAAAAAAAAAATTATTATTATTATTGTTATAATCGAGTAAAAATTTTACGGCACAATTAATAATTTTTTGAGTACTTTTCCAATGTGGTTTATGTATGAACAGAAAACATGATTTCATATAAGTTTAATTCAAGTAGGAGGAGACTGGGAAGAGAAATTATATTGGATTTTGCTTTTTGCTCAGCAAGAATAATTGTTTTAAAGTTTCCTGAAAACTGGTTAAATTTGATGAAATTAAATTTCACCCAAATATACCTGCTTAAATTTCAGAAATTTAAATATAGTTGCAAATATAGCTAAAAAAAACTAAATCTGGATATTAGAATTTCTGAGTTTAGCAGGTAAAAAATTTAAAAAATAGATCTCATTCTAGCTGATCAATCCAAATCAATAAAGTTATTTTTATCCGATTTTTACATAAAAAGTTTCCAAAAATCTCATTTTTACCAAGAAATTCAATAAAAGTAAAATTAATGCATTTTCAGTTCTTTTTGTTCTAATATTAACTACCACGGCTCTCTGATTTTCAAAGAGTTGTTTCAAAGGGTTGTTTAAAATTTTGATTTCTAAAATCTTAAAAATCATATCCCTGCTTGAATATTCTATGGTTTAACGGCAAATTTTTATATAGAAATGTGAACAAAATTGTAAATTTATATCAAAGAAGTCCATTTGCCTGTAAAATTCTGTAAAATCGATTTACAAATCATAATAATTTTAATCAAAATAAAATTGTTCTAGTGAGAATACATTTTTTAGGTCAACTATGACAAAAGAAAATCAAGAGAATTTCAGCCATTTTTTATTATTTTCCTTACATTAGAATAGGTAATAAAATAATTTTTTCCATGGTTTTTTAAAAGTTATTAATTTACGATTTCTAAAACAGCGACGAGTAAATATTAGTCGATTCCATCATTTAAGGTAATCAAAATTAATTTTGGCGCAGAGAAAAAACAAGTCTCGGCGCGCTTCCTTTAGCGAATCGAGTCAAACGGAATTTTTAATTTGCACACGTGCTCCACCTAGAACGAGAGTAATTTAAATATATGTTCGCTCGAGAAGACGCCCAATTAGCAAAGTAGCAGGAAAATAAGAGAGGTCTGTGTGGCGAAATTGTCTGCGGCGTTCCGCGACTTGAGTGAAAAAAAAAACTCGGTGCGTGTTTTGCCGGAAAAGCGGCAACGGCGGAATGCGGGAAAGGTGACCTAGGTTGCGCAGTGCGGTGTGATAACACGGGCTGGGCGATCATCACCTCCATTATTACTCACGTAGTCTGCGTTCAGTGTGTACTGCACATCGCGCAAATACGAGACAACAACTCCTTGGCGGGACAAAAACGACTCACGGAGAGACGTGCCTGGCTCCGTTGCCGTGGGGATTGATATGGGGGGGGTTTATCAAGAGAACAGTTTCCAAAGTACGTGGCTAGTTCTCAGCTTTTATTGAATCATTTGCGGAGGAGTTTTATTGCAAGTGCATAAATTAAATGAAATTTTTTGTTGAAAAGGGGAAAATCATAAACACACAGAGACATTTTTTGCATTTAAATTTTTTAACAAATGAAAAGGTGATTTGATTTTAAATTCGGCTTTTCCTCGGTGGGTTTTTGTGAGTTTTTTATTGTTTAAGAAAAAGCAATATCCTGCTTTACATGTTTCGCCTGCGGGCTATAAAAAAGAATTAAAAAAAAAAAACTCCCATAAACCCATCGAGTAAAAGCCGAATTTAAATTCAAATCACCAAGAATCAACCCTCGATCGTGAACTTCTTCTACAAAACAAATTTCAAGATCCAATTCTGAAAAATTCCCATTTTATTTATTAAATTAAAAATAAAAAGGTTTGTAAAATTCATTTAGTTTTTGACTTTCTGGAAAAGCTAAAGAATAATAATAAAAAAAAAATACTATTGAGATGCAATTTTTTTTTATGAATATGTGGATTCGTAATAAATGATTCATGTCTATTCATAATAAATTTAATATGAAATATGAGTAATAGAGAGACCTGGCTTAACCTCGTTAAGATTTTTTTTTTCAAAATTTCTTGCAGTATCAAATCTCATTAAAAATTATTTATTTTCTGCATTTACTACATTGATCTTGTTTTGATTTTACAAAATATATATTTGTTCTAGACGGAATTTTTCCTTTTATTTATTCTCATGATCAACATACAATAAAAGTTATTGAGAAGGATTGGAGCTTCTGCAATTTATTGCTGCACCTGAAGATCAAGTTTAGCCTGAAAATTAATTGAATTTTTAATCATAAATTGATCCGGAGAAACTCTTTTGTTGACTTCTTTTGATTTGAAAACAATTTTTTGTCTCTCTGATTAGTTGTAGGGAATTTTGTGCATATACCTGTTCTAGGGAAGATTAAGTGCCTGCAGGCGATTGTGCAAAGACCCTTTGTGTCAAAAAGATTGGCGGTACCGTTGCATCCTCCGTAGATGAATCTCTCGCATCTGCGGGTGGCGATGTTGAACGTAAACTTCGGAATGTAGCCTTCGCATGGCCGAGCTCCTCTCTGCATCGGCTCTAGCAGGCAAATGTCATCCCCTAGCGCTGTTAATAAAATAAAGACAATTATTTAGATCAAATCATAATCACAAATTTAACTCTAATTTGGCTTAAATATTATTAATTTCATTTAAAGATCCTCTCCGGTCAAGTGTTTTGCTCTCTATTCTGAAAGATTGCTAAATTTCGAGCATATCTAGTGAAAACACTATTTGAAAATTCCAAACCGTTGCGTCTCAATCAAAAGAAAACCTAAATACGAGTGATTCGCGCGAAAAACGTGTGAGAATTGATCAGTTTGTTCCAAAAACTACAGAATTTGGTCACATTGGCGCTGCGATCGCTGATTTTGCAAAGTTATCTGCAGCGCCGTGGGGCATTAGTGGCAAAATCAGCGATAGCAGCGCCACAAGTGACAAAAACCTGCAGTTTTTGGAAGAAACTGATTGATCTGATTGGCTACTCAATTCTCACACGTTTTTCGCGCGAATCACTCATATTTAGGATTTCTTTTGATTGAGACGCAACGATTTGGAATTTTCAAATAGTTTTTTCACAAGATAAACTCGAAATTTAGCATTCTTTCAGAATAAAGAGCAATACAAATGACCGGAGTGGGTCTTTAACTAGATTATTTTGCATTCAATAAGGTAAAAATCAAGTGACATAAGAGTGCTAATGAAAAGGGCGCAGTTATTCCTTCTACTTTTGGAAATCAATCTGTTTAAGTCGCATTCCTTGAATGAACACTTACGTGGTCTAATCCCAATACCACGCTGGGCATTAACGTGAACTGCCAGACAAAGCAGTGCCAACAAAATCAAATATCGAGTCAACATTTTTGCACAATACTAAGACCTCTTTCGCACTGATGGTTGAGTGAAGCTTGCTCGCCTTTATATACCATTTCAATCAACACTAAACTAGTTAAAAAAAGATTTTAGAAAAACAAAATACCACATCCTTTTGTTAAAATTGTAGCAAGGTCAAATAATTAGACTTGTACGTTGTTTACGAATCCACTGTAAATTTTGTTGTATGAAGAACTTTAGGAAGTGGTGAGCCAATTGCACAGTTTTTTTTATATATTTTTTTTTAAATTTTGCATGGCGGCCGCTTAATTTTTATTCTTCTTATGATTTTTCTTCAAGTTTTCATAAAAATTTAGATAGCATAAAATATATAATTTCAAATTAATAAAATTAAACAAGAGATGATTTTTTTCGTGAACTAATGTGGATTTATTTTGTTACAAATTATTTTATGAGGCGCTTATCAAATTATTTTTTCAAACCATTCTCATTGTTAAAAAAATTGAAACCAGGCGAACCTCGTTGCAAAAGAAATAACGAAAAATCGCACTGCAAATAGCCTTTTGGGGTCAGTTGTCTTTTATTTGTATTTTAACTTTTTTTATATGCAACGAAGTTCGTCTGGTTTCATTTTTTCATGAAATCCACCTCAAGTTAGCATTCCATTCATTCCTCTCAAGATATTTATGTCAATTGATTGACACCAAAATTCGTTTGTGTACAAAAACCTAATGACATTATGTGTGTGATTTTTTATTAATTCTTAATTGCAAGATTCCTCCAGGTTTAAAGGTAGACAGGTGTGTGTATACTTGCGGGTTTTTTAGCCTGGAAAATACATGTTATTAGTTTATGACTTGAATTATTCAAACAGTGCAAGAGAATTGTATTATGATATATGATTGTGATTTAGAGACTTATTATTACTCTTGATGTTTAGTGAAGTCTTTTTTTATAAAATTGTGAGATTTTCATTTTTCTATCATATTATTAATTATTTATATTCTTCAGTCAGTCAAAACCAAACTTTTGCTTACCCCTTTGGACAAATTGCTCGCAGGAAACTCTGCACTGGGCCCGTGTTTTAAATAGATTTCTGGAACCGTTGCATCCTCCGTAGATGAAATTTTCACATTTTCCGGTTCTACTGTTGAATGTGAAACTCGGAATTATCGCCTCACACGAGTTGGTCTGCCCGTTCTTGATCGGTCCAATCCGACAATAAGGTGGCGCTAATAAAAAACGTGTTTTAAAACGGGAAAAGTTTAATTTGCTGCGATAAGAACTTTAAAAGCTTGATATGGATATAATTATGTTTGCAACTCGTTTTGCTCCATTGATTTTTAGACATTTTTACAATGCAAAAATTAGACGTTAAGTGGAAAGGGAACTTTTGCAATCAATTTTCAGCTGAATCCAACTATTTGAATAGCATTTCTTAGATTACACTTACGTGGTGGAATCGGTTTAATTCCGTGCGTGGCGTGAACTATTAGACAGAGCAGCGCCAACGAAATCAAATATCGTGTCAGCATTTTGTCACTTTACGTTTTGCGTGTTGTGTTTGTGAAGACCTTTTCTCTCAATGATGGATGTTTGACGCTTGCTCGCCTTTAAATAGTATTTCCGTCAAACAGTGAAATGTTAAAATATCACTCTTTCTTTACAAAAACCAAAAAAACCACATCCTTTTATTAAAATTAAGGCAAGGTCAAATTATTTGACTGCAATGCAGATGTACTTTGTTTTTCAATCTGCTGTGTTTTTTGTTGTGATGAACTTACGGAAGTGGTGAGCCGCTTGCAATATATTCTGAGCCGCTAAATTTTCATTTCCCCTTATTTTAATTAATTTATGGCAGCTAAATCGTGTTTTTTAATTCTAAAATTATTTTAACTTGCAGTCAAATCTTTTATGTCAAATTATGAAAATATATAATTTAAGTGGATCTCACAGTTAATAGGTAATACAAGAAAATTGGATGAATTATTTTAATTTATTCTACAATTCTTTGTACTTTTTAACAAATTTTTCAATAACAACATAACATTTTTATTTCTAATCAAAAACTCCATCTTAGGTATGATTTTATCAATTGTAATTTTATTTTCACACACTTCATTTTTTGTACTAGCCACGTATATTAAGATTTGCAGATTCCCTGTGTTTCACACTGTTCGATATTTAATTTAATGATGGATTCCTCCGTCCTCTAGGTAAACTGCAGGGGCAATCTCTTTGATTCTGGAAAAAACGTGTTTAATGAACTTTTGGCTTGAATCATTCAAAATATATGCTTCAGGAAAGATATGATTGAACTCTCTTCAGTTGAAAGCAAATATTTGTAAACATTTGAATTAATTTGAATCTTTTACTAAATTTTTATTTTTATTCGTAATGTAAAAATTGTGCTTACCCCGTTTGACTAGGTGTTTGCACGCTCTTTGGCACTCGGCTGACGTTTTAAATAGATTTTTGGAACCATTGCATCCTCCGTAATTGAATTTTTCACATTTGCCGATTCTTGCGTTGAATGTGAATCTCGGGATTAGCGCATCACACGAGTTGGAATGCCCACTCTTTATCGGTCCAAGCCAGCAATAATGAACTACTTGCGCTTTGAAAAAAATTATAAGCAATAATTAGATTTTGTGAGTTTTGTGTAGTGCAATAGGCGGTAAAAAAAAATAAAAAAAAAAATTGTCTGGGCATAATAGCGAATGAAATAAAGTTTTGTTATGCTTTGAAATTTGGGTTTATGAGAATTTGTCAATTTGTCCAGATCAAACTATTTGTATTTAATTTCTTTGATTAGACTTACGTGGTCGAATTCCACGCTGGGCGCCAACTACTAGACAAAGCAGTGCCAACGAAATCAAATAACGAGTTAGCATTTTGTCACTTTTAGTTTCGCGTGCTGTGTGCGTGAAGAATCTTCTTCACTCTGAAGGTTTATTGACGCTTTCTCCCGCCTTTAAGTAGCTTAATTTCCTTCTTCCAAAGAACCACAAAGGTCAAAACATGTGTATGAAAAATAAAGCACTTTTCTTTAACTTGTGGTGAAGACAAAAAGCTGGATTTTCCGCAGATCTACTTGTTTTTGAAGCCACATTTTTGCTGTGCTGTGAAGGCCAATAGGAAGTTGTGGCAAATTGCAATGTTATTTTGGAAACAACACTTTATTGTTATGATAAAATTAATGTAAGAACTTACTGTTAAGAATTTTAATTTTTGATCTGGACTTTTTTCTTGTTGTATATACATATATGTTTTGTAAATTACGTAAAAATTGAATAATTCAGAAAAATTTATTAATTTTTTATTATTTTACTTTTATTAAATTATCTTTATAAGTTCAAAGCACTAAAAATTGAAATTTTAATAATTTTTTTTAGTAAAAATAAAATAAATTTTTAAAAAATAAATAAAATAAAAAATATATTAAATACAACACATGCTACAAGGCTTGTACAAAAATTACAAACAAAAATGTTTATCAGTATGAAAATTGTACAAGTTCAAGTTAAGTATTAAAAGATAATAAAATTTGTACAACAGACTAATCTGTAAGAATCCATGCCACATTCTGTCCGTATAATATTTTGTTTGTAAAATTCTCATCTTTTCTCTCAATTGTATTGAATTTGTATAATTTTGAATGTATTAAATGATGTATCCCATTATGGGCAGCAATTTTGCCTTTGTGATATATCAATAAACACAATTTGCAACTAATATTACACTATTATAATAATATACTATTTACTAAATTCTTTTTTCTATTATATTAAGTTTACCCGAAATAAAATAATACGACGAATGCAAGAGGTTCCATGAATTATTTTTTATTGATTTATTAATGCATGAGTTTCATAATTAAATCGTAATACATTTATTTATTTGAACAAAATTTTTCACTAATTGACATCGCTCCTTAGTACATATTCAGAAAATACATTTATGTTTTAATTTGAAATGCATTTCTAAACTAAATCCAGATTATTTGAGTGAAAAATATTGAATATTTTTCTCGTGAAGCTTACAACTAATTTTTATGAAGGTTTGTAGGTTTACGAGTAAGTTTGAAGGATTTTGTTGCGTTTCCGTCTGCAGGTATCTGAACAACTTTACGTTCGTGCGCGTCGGGTTGAGCCTGTAAATTTTTTTAATTAAAATTTCAATGATTAATACAAAAACAAGCAGAGAGAAGTTGGCATTAGAAGATACAGATCAATTTTGATTGGTTCAATCAAGAGTTCCTATTATTAATTGTAGCGATGGTTAAATTTCTCTGTTGTCATTATAATTGTTTAATTCTACTCAAGTCATGACAAAAGATGATCAAAACTTGCCATTGTTGTAGACAATATTTGAATAATAAGAAAATATAATGAAAATATGGGGGTGTCAAACACGACATAGCTTGCCTCTTGGACCGGTGATGCATGCGTTTTCGCACTTGGCTCGAGTCGCAAATAGGTTTTTGGTGCCGTCACATCCTCCATAGAAAAATTTCTCGCATCTGCCACTGGCCGCGTTGAACGTGAACATAGGAAATTTTCCACGGCAACGTTGAGGGAACACCGAAACTGGTTTTAACTGGCAAATATCCTTCTCTGCTGCTCAAAAAATCAAAATTATGTATAATTATTAATCCAGCTCCACGGTTATTCACTTCATTATAAAAAAAATTACACTACTTTACATCAAGTTTGATTTCTTTTAAATAAAATCAAATTAAGCATCCTATCTTGTTTGATCAAAGGATGTTATTTTCCTTTCTAGAAAATCACAAAACACTAAACCAATTTTCTTTTTAAAATATAAGATAAATAAAAAGGGAGCTTACGCGGAGAGTAGGTCGACCAGGTTGCAGCTTTGACCAGCAGAAAAATCAGCGCCGACGAAATCAAAAAGTAGCGGATCATCATTTTTTTACTTTTGGGTGTTTTTGCGTGAAAGACTTTTTTCGCACTGACGGTTGATTAAAGTTTGCTCGCCTTTTTAAATAGAATTTTCAGCGCACACCGCAGAAGGTCGAAATTTGTATGAAAAACAAAAACAAAAACCCATCCCTCCACATCCTTTTGTTAAACTTGAAGCAAGGTCATATTATTAGATACAATACCCATGTACTTTTCTTTTTTCTGGCCAATCTGAAAGCTGCAATAATTACAGCGACAATAACGATCTTAATAGAATATTTGAACTGGCCGGAAAGGATCCAAAATATTTTTGGCATTTTTTTAGGCCATTGTGTTGCTGCAAATGCACATGTGAGCTGCAGATTTGATGCGGCGTAAACCACCAGTAAGATTTTTTTTCAGCCACAGATATATTTTTATTGCAGATGGACATTTAAGTGTGCCATTAATAGTTGCTTTGCTTTTTATCCAAATTTCACCTTTACACTACTGACTCATTTTTATAAGTAAGGAACATTAATTTAAATAAAATTATACAATTTTTTTTTTATAAATCAGTGCCAGTTAAAGAACAAAACTTAGTCAACCGAGGCTCACTGCGGCGGATGGGGTCTTTTTGGCCTCGGAAGTTTTAGCAAAATTTTTGCTAGTGGTGGTGCCGTTTTGTCCAACAATTTCTTTTTTCAAAATAAATGTTTTCAACAATCTGTATGTAAACAATGTGATGTAACAATTTGGACAAATAAACAACAATAATAATAAATCTTTAATAAAATTTATCTCTCTTGTAATCAATGTAATTTATAATATTGATTGATGGATGATGTATTTGGGAAGAGAATGCTCGGTGATACATTAATAAACATGATTTTAAACTAAAACATATTGTATAAACTCATTAGACCATAATTTATTTACGTAATTGTTTAAACATTTTTCTGAAATTAGTTGCAAGATTTTTATTCTTTAATGTGAAGAGAACAATATTTCAGTGATTGATAAATTTTTCAGGAAATTTCACGAGTTTTGATTTAATTTCAAAGCTTTTTTAACAGTGATTTGCAGGTTTTCACATGGTAAATTCTAATGACTTTGTAAGTCTCAGTATCCAAGGCAGTATATGTACTGCTTATTTTCCTGTCCGTTTTGTTGTTCCTGTAAAAAAGAAAGATTTTTTCAATCACACACTTTCAAAGAAATATGTAAAAAGTAAAAATTATGTGTTAGAGTCAATTTTGTTTCGTTCAAGACGTCCCATTGTTAATTCTAGCTATTATTTTTACCCTTATTTGCTATTTGTTTCTTGCACTTGTGCCATGAAAAGAAATTTTGCAACATTTTTTTCATTTGTTTTTTTTTTTTTTTTTTTTTTTTTTGTAGTAGACGTTCGATATTGAGGGTTGATTCATGGTGATTTAAATTTAAATTCGGCTTTTCCTCGATGGGTTTTTGTAAGTTTTTATTGGTTAATAAAAAAACAATATTTTTTTCTTAAACAATAAAAACTCACAAATACCCATCGAGGAAAAGCCGAATATAAATTCAAATCATATTTTTTTTTTTTCATTTTTATATGAAATTTAAATTAGGAATAAAGAATAAATGGTAAATAATATTTTATTGAATTAAAATTGGGTTTGTTCGGTGAAACGACTTAATTTTAAGCTTACTTCTTTGAATAAGATGTTTGCAGGCGTTTTCGCACTCGGCTTGAGTCCGAAATAGGTTTTTGGTGCCGAAGCATCCTCCATAGATATATTTCTCGCATCTACCTCTGGCCGCGTTGAACGTGAACATGCGAAATCCTGCACGGCATGCTTGAAGGTTCTGCGACAACGGTTTCAACAGGCAAATATCCTGCTCTGCTGCTCAACAAATCAAAAACAAAATTAATCAATTTCCACGGTTTTTCACGTCAGTACATTCTAATGCATTGAAAAGGCTGCAAAAATTTACAAAATCAATCCCTACTGGTTACTATTCTTTCAAATAAAGTATTTAACATAACTAGTAATGCCTGTCTCGTTTAGTCAATCAAAATTATTTAAAAAAAAATAATAACCATATTATTTATTTAAGATAATTGAAGTGGGAACTTACGCGGAGAGTAGGTCGACCAGGTTGCAGCGTTGACCAGCAGAAAAATCAGCGCCGACGAAATCAAAAAGTAGCGGATCATCATTTTTCGCGTGAAGTTTTGCGTGTTATTGCGTGAAAGACTTTTTTCGCACTGACGGTTGATTAAAGTTTGCTCGCCTTTTTAAATAGTATTTTCAGCGCACACCGCAGAAGGTCAAAATTTGTATGAAAAACAAAAAAAAAACCCAGCCCCCACATCCTTTTGTTAAATTTAAAGCGAGGTCAAATAATTAGATTTACCGGCCCATATACATTGTTTTCAAAGCCACACTCTGTGGTGAACTGTTATTACGAATATATGAGTGGTTAAAATATAATAGTTGAACTAGATGGGAAAAATCTAAAATACAGGTACGATCTTGGCAGTCCTGACCCATTCGGCGGGGGTGGACAAGCACTTGACTAACCCTCCTCGCTTACCACAGGGGAAAACCACCCCCGAAAACCCTGCAGCTTAATATCTGCAGGATCTTTCAAATAAAAACTGGGCTCAATCCATTGAAACCCTTGAAAAACTTTTCAACAGATTGTTAGCCTAAAAATCGAAACGCTATTCAATATTCTATAATTCAAAAATATTTTTTATATGAACTATGCAACAGTAAAATACATCATTGACCGAAATTTGATCAAACCGAGGATTGGAATGTCCTCCGGGTGTACCGAGGTTTATTCGGGACTGACTTAGCACCTGCTAGGGGATAGGGAGTGCCTTGTAAGCCAGCCTGACCTGGTCTTTCTTGCGGGTTCTGCAGGTTAAGGCTACCTCGGTCTGTTGCCGAATAGCCTGAATATTCCTTCGCTCAAGACTTACCCTGATATTTTATAAAACCCTCAGGACAAGGTATCGAATAATAATCAGTGCTTTTGAAGGTTTGAGAGAAACTGATCTCTATTTTATAAATTTTATTCTTATCAAAGGTACATCTATGGTTGGGATTGATCAATACACAAATTATAATATATTTCCCCGCAAGACGTGGAGGTGTTTGCAGGCACTTTTACACGCTTCCTGTGTGTCAAATAGATTCTCAGAACCGTCGCATCCTCCATAGGAGTATTTCTCGCATTTGGCGGTGGCCGGGTTGAACGTAAACATCGGAACTATAGCTTTGCAAGTTTGAGAAACCTCCTTCATGGGCCCTAGCATGCAGATATCAACCGGAGCTATGATAAAAAAAAGGGGAAAATCTTGTTAAAAAAGGGTTTTCTTACACAAGATTAATATTTAGAAAATAAACGAATTCATAAGCTTTTGGAGAAAATTGTAAGAAAAATTCTTATTACTTTTCATGAAATTTTATTAGAAAAAAATCAGGGTGAAATTGTTAACTACGCTTATTATAATTGACTGTAAGGTTCATTTAGAAATATTTTGTTCATTTATAGGAGTTAAAAATTGTTAGAATACTTAGGCGTACGTTTAAAGAGGTGTTGGCAGGCGTTTTTGCAATCAATAGGCCTCTTGAATAGGTTTTTGGAGGCGTGGCATCCTCCATAGACATACAACTCGCACCTGCCTTTTATCGCATTGAACGTAAACATTTCAAAGTACGCCAGGCACTGTTTTCCCTTTGTCGTCAATGGTCCCAACAGGCAAATATCACCCTTTTCCGCTGCATAACAAAACAAGAATTATTATATGTATATTTTCAAAAATCAAAATAACATTGTGAAAAAAGATTCCTGAAATAATAAAACACCTTTCCTTATTTAATTAAAACACTTTGAGATGAAAATGATAGCCTACATGTGGAATTCGACGCGGCGTTTACCGCCAGAAAAATCAGAGCTGACGAAAATATAAACCGAGTCAACATTTTTTGTCACTTTTAAGAAACTGTTTGCAAAGTGGAAACGTTTTTCTCACTGATTATAGATTTACGCTCGCACGCTCTTTAATAGCATTTCCATCCCACCGCGAAGGTCAAAATATTTTCAAGTAAAAACACAAAAAAAACCCCATCTTAATGAAAGAAAATATTGTTGTCAATGTCAATTAATAGGGTTTCCCCATTTCAAATTTGGTTTTGTTTTTAAACTTTTGCCATTTTTCATGGCCGATAAAATTTGAGGAAGTGGCCGACAGACCACTTCTAAAGCGATAATATGTATATCACGTGCTTACAAATTAATTGTAAGAAAAAAAACAATTTCGCATGGCTTGTGGAATATCGCGCCTTAAAATAAATAAATTTTATATTTGCAAATTTTTTTTAATCCTTTTAACATCTGCTTTGCCAAAAGACTTTGCATAATATTCTTAACTTCTTTGGGAAATTCCTTTATATTTTTAATTTTTTACTTTAATCAAATGATTTCAGTACATTTTCTGATTATTCAGGAAAATTTTTCAGTCTAAATTGTAAAAAAAACCTGAAAACAAGAGAAAAGTACAAATTTGGTAAATCTATGTCAAATTGTAAATCTAAAAAATTGTATTTTGAAAAATTGTAATTTCATACGTTTTTGTTATAAATATTAAATAAAATAAATTCTAAAAAAGTTTAATTTACTCTGTACGTTAATATTCATTTAAAAAACCGCTAAATTTTTCAATAAAAAAATATTTAAATAAATTAAAACTTCAACTTTTATTGCAAAAATAAATACAATAATTATTGATCCCTACAACTTGAGCAGCTCTGACCCGTTGCGTACTAATCGTAATTGCAGCATCATCTGCAGGTGTGATGGCTGCTCTTCTAGGCAATTCATTTGCGGGTCGTGTGTGACAGGGAGAACGTTTTTCGCCATAAAATTTGGCCGGGACGCGCATCAGGTGTTTCACATTCGAAGGGCAGAGCGGTTTAATAAAAAGTGCAGTGGCGGAGTGACGTGTGCGCGCGCCAGATAAATTACACGCTCCCGTCATATAACTCTCCGCCAGTTTTGTCCTGCCGTAATTATGGCCGGCTAATGCGACAAAGAGAGCATCTCCCTCTCGCTCTCGCATTTCAGTCAAATTAGTTTTCGCCTAACAAATTGGCGATTCGTGTAAACTGAGCCAGAGAGAGAAAGCCGACGAGCTGCGCACCTTGCTTTTGTGCGAGCCGACGAGCGAGAGAGAGAAAGTGCTCGGAAATTAATCCTTCTCGCGCACTTCACACAACTTTTCTGCCAACGCAACCCTTGGTGCGCAAAAGCGGACCCAGATAAAAATAAAAACGGTGCTTTTTCCTGGTCGGTGGCAAATGAATAGTCAGATGTTGCCTTGGAGGCGAAAATTGAATTCAAAAGGCGAGGAATCAAATTGAAAGATCCATGATTGCCCTTTAAATATGAAAGTTTTTCCAATTAAATATATTATGAATTCAGATATAGTCACTTCAAACATATAGTCACTTAAAATTTAATTTGAAACCAATTAAATTTTAATAAAGGTTTCAAAAATCTGAAAATGTATATAGATTGTCTAAATTTAATTCTAAAAAATTGATTTTTTTATTTACTTGTAATTTTATAAAATCAATATTGCTCAGCTAGACAAATAAGTCAATTTTAATCTATAATTATAGTTTAACAAAGTAATTTTCTTTCTGGTTCTTTCAATCCCATTCTTTTGGCATCAATTAGTGGTTCTAAAAAGATCGTTTAACAATCTGAAAAAGCAATATTTATTACGCAATTATAAAATTGCAATGGAAGCTTTTTGAGGAACTATGAGTTTTGTTTGAGGCATTGAAAATGCAACGCAAATTTGCTTAATTAAGAGAATTTTACGTGACCAAATTGCTAGTTCTCATCTGGTTTTCATGAAGTATCTGTGCATTAGGAAAAATTATGTAAAGATTTCTTAAAACATTTATTTTATTTAAGAGGGATTAAACCGTAATTATTATTTATAGCGATCAATAAAAAGAATCTGATTATCTTCATATCCAATAAAGAAATTGCGCTGCATTCTTATTTATTTTACTTTTATCAGGCACATTTAAAGAAAAGATTAAAGTACTTGCTATGAATAAAACTAGTTCCTCTCTTTGAAATTTAAGGCTTTTCACACAAAAATGCAATGATTTGTTTAATTCATGAAGTAAAAGTGAAAACGTTGGCAATATAAGATGTCATATTTTAGACACTCACAAATAAAAACCATTTTCTGGAAAGAATTAACAACATATTTTATTATTACAGAATATATTTATTATTATTTTTTTTTTAATTAAACGGGATTTTAATTTTATTTAAAAAAAAGCGGTCAAATTAGCAGCTTTGTTGCTTTATGGCACCGCAAACAGTGAGGCGAAGCCGCGACGCAACAGCATTCCGCTGGTGCAAATCGTACCAAAGGGATTGCGAAAAAAGGGCCAAATTAAATTAGTGAGTTTTTGGCGTCACTAATTATTTACGCGCCGATAGGCAAAGGGCTGCGCTGCCGAATAAATGCGTGTGTGCGTGGAAAAGGGTCGAGCGTGTAATGGCGGAGGGTAGGAAAGTAAATGTTTGCCCAAAAACGGCGGCGGCGGCGGCGGCAACCGCTGCACACACGCAGACTGAATTGTGTGATCAAAAACGGCTCCTGGCGAAGCGGCTGGCTGATTGCAAAATTTATAACAGCGTCTCTTGAATGATGAATGGAAATCGATTCGACTCTATCAAAAATGCAGGTGCGTGCATGTTTCAGCCCCGACGTGCTCAGGCCCGGATCACAGATAATGTTAAGGATTATGTCTTTCATCAGCTAAAATTAAAATTTAATTTTGTGGATTGGTAAAATTTTATTTGTGTTTCATTTGAAAACTTCATTTCGATATGGCTCACTGGTGACGATTGGAATCTTTTTGATCTCGGAAGTTTTGTCCAGCAATTCCTTTCTTTTCGAATAAATTGTTTTCAACAATTTAAACAATCTATTTGTATCAATGTAGACAAATAAAGAAATATGACCACCTCGAGTGACAAAAGGTTCCACAACAACAACTTCAAGAACCTATACAGGAACAATAAACATATTATGGAGAAAAATTAGCAATTATTTGAAATTTTTTAAACTACTCAACGATTCAATTCAGCTATGTAAACTAATTTAAGGCTTTTTTGCATAAAACTGCGAGTGCGGTTACGCTGCGTTTGTTATCTTGAAAAACATAAACAATAAACGAGCTTTAATTTTACAGCACGATTTTCCGGAGTGTTTTGCACGCACAGTGTTTTAAATTGCAGCTAACATATTCATCTTTCTCTTTAGCAAAATCTTGGTTGCGGTTTCTGACGCAAATCAAGCTCTGTTTATGTACCCAAGCATGCGATGTCCTCACGTTACTCTTTATTTAAGGACGGAAAGCACGCCAACTATTTTTTCCAGTAACTGCGATTTGAAAACGGCTTTGCAAGAAAAAATTAAGTCGATATGTTTGGAAAGTAGCCTGTATTTATGATTGATTTATCCACATAATTGCTATTCCTGGAAAAGATAGATTGGCAAAAATTTCATACAATTATTGAATAAGTTGAATGCTGCAACTTTCCACAACATTTCTTGACCTGCAAGATGGAAAATTATGTAAATTCATTTACAAATTTACTGATTAAAATTATATAGGCCGCGGGTGGATATTACATTTAAAAAATAAAAAAATGGTGAATTATGGTAGATCTAGTACAAATTTAATTAATTTTCAGGATTTTTTTAAATTCGCCCCTAAATAATTCATTTACATTTGCACAAAAAAAATCTTCTAAATTTTTTTTCTATTTGAAGACTAATTTTATCTTGAAATTTTTAGAGACAGCATTCTTCAATTTTTTAAATTACATCATTTAAGCTGCATCACGAGTACTTCGAATTAAGTTCGATAATTTTTATACAAAATTCAAAAATACCCGAGACAAAAATGTAAGAAAATCATTATTAAATTAACCAAATTTCACGTTCCATATTTTATACATTCATTAAGTAAGTTAAAAGTAAGTCGCTTGGATCTTTTGAGGATGGAACTCCTTTTTAAAAACAATGCCGTTGTGATTAAATTTCACTTGTTGAGGGCACTTGGGCCATTTTCCAATAAAGTGCATTAATTTGCTTGAATATGCGTCGGAGCCGTTTTCATCGTTGATGAGCCTTGCTCGTCGTCGTGCTCTCCTTAGACCTTCCTTTTAATGGAGGAGGAAAAGCCACGACTGCTGATGTTACTAATGGCTTATTCGCGGCTGCAAGTGTGTGTACCAAGCTCTCGAGTTGACTTTGCTGTGCGCCATCAGAAAGCCATTCTCCCTTCCCGCAGAGCGCAGTGGCAAAAGCCAACGATGACATGGAAATGCCGCGAAATTCGTCAATTTACAGCCAAATAATATGGTAATGAGTTCCGCGCGACGCGACTCTCATGAATAATTCCGGCAACGTGCGTGTATTTCGAAGCCACGACCTTTAACAATATTTGGTGCACAATTTTTCGTAATTGCGTTAATTTTAATATTTACTAAAACAAGTTAACAATTCAAAGAGTTTTTAAATTACAAAATTTACAGTCAGTTTCGGCTTGTAAAAAAAAATATAGAAAAAAAAAATAGAAAATCGATTTTTACAGTTAGGCTGTCCGGCAAACACATGCGATGAGCAGGTTGCATAGCTTTTACAAGTTTCTCTCAGTTTTTTGCTTCTACAATTTTTAATTCAATGAAAAAACCAAAAAAATTATAATTTTAAATATTTCATGCCTGAATAATTTTGTTTTCTTACAAATTAACTTAAAATATTAGAGAAAAAGAAGAAGAGGAATCAGAAAAACGTCTCATTTCACACTTCCTGAATATAAATGAACTTTCTTCATACAAAAATCAATCTTTCTTTTACATTCAAAAAGCAAAATCTCATAAAAATTGGATTCTTCTTACTATTTTAAGTGTAAATTTAGATCTTCAATTTAACTCAGGGTAAAAAAATTGACTTTTTGAAGGTTTAAAATATAAATAAATAATGGATAAATATTGGTGGTTTGGAATGCTTAAAATACATCAGCTTTCTCATTGACTAAATCTTTCTCAATTAAAATTTCTAATTGATATAAAAATGGCATTTATTCATTCCGTTCCGTCGTGTTGAGTTCTTATCATTTCCTTTGGTTCAAATCAACTGAATTTGCGTGTACAACTATATCAGTGCCTTTCACACTCTTAAATTGCCTTAGTTTTTAATAATCTTGC